CAAATGTGGTAATGGTCAGTGTTGACCATCTTGCGTATATAAGGTGTTAGTGGGTAAACGGACAACACCTTTGGTACATGTCTCGCGAACACCTTGACAATATTGATAATAACATGCAGTCTGACATATATAACATAATTAAACTGATATTCATGTACATGGATGTCAATTCATGGGCAGTTGGGCTCCTTTCGTCACGGAATTTCCAATGGGCGTATAAAGGATAAATAGTGTACATCACATTAATATGTAATAGAAATTAAAGAGAGATAAAGCTAGGAAAATTGGTAGTCCCAGTAAGATTGATTCGTGTTGTTTAAATCGCCTCTCTAAAATTGCATGACGTAAACCTATGTAAAAGTAAAGTGTTTTCCTGATTGCTCAGACACAATTTATCAACACATATCATGAATTTCAACATCTTGCTCCAAAACAGAAATTGGCATTAGACTGTAAGATGTTCTTCCAAACATGCAACAAGGTCTCGTTCACCCGATACAGATGTCTCCTTTGCGATACAGTGCAGGGTCTGCAGATTTAGATGCTATCCATACTTTTTGTGAAGCCAGAACACTGGATCCGAGAGAGATATACAACTATGAAAGAGGGAAACAAAAGTCAAATGTCAAATCTGATATGAAACTATGATATGAAATACATTATCATAAAGATCAATGCTATACACCATAGTTGGTATCACATACAAAGTTTCATCTTCCCAGATCTGGTTATGATAGGATATCCAGTACCTATGAAATCCTAGAAGGGACATTGTCGTGTTGTCGCCTATTTTGAGGCTTTTTTTACACATGATGAGGCAGCAATGCGACGACGCACATATATTTACCTCGAAATTGTCGCTATGTCGCATTGTCCCCCTTTTGGATGAATAAATATATTAGTCCAAACGCGACAATGCGATAGAGCGACAAATGGCCAAAATATCTTATTGTCGCACTTTGGGTAATTTTGCCACTTTTGGCTTGTTTTTGTGAGGGCTACAATGATCCTTCTAGGATTCCATAAGTAACAGCAGACTATGGGATGCATGCAGGCCAGAACGATGAATCTGCATAAGCTTTGTGGGTTTAGAAGAGGCGGTGATAAATCTGAATGTACATACCACATGTACCATCATAATGGCTATGATCGGGCATTCAAAGTTGAAGTTTCCTTGCCTTGTTGTTTCACAGACGACGTTGAAAATGCAGTAACACTGGAAACATCGGGGTTATGAACATCATGAGGATAGATCGACATTCAGAATGAGGAATGTCAGAAAATAACTTATTTCTCCGGGACAGGATCAAGAAAACCAAGGCTTGAGCTTATTAGACCTTCAGTCACATGCAATGAAAGCGGACAAAAATCCAATTTGTCACTTGGAAGTGAACACTTCGATACGGTATCAATATCGCAGAGGACACAAGAATCATATATGATATATAAAGCAACAGAAGTTATCAGACATCTTCGTCAATAACATGGTCCTCAAGAGAACCTGTCGGCTCAAAGACAGTGTTTTCATAGACCTGCATATGTAACTCCTCATAGGCTGTGTCATTTCTTTCTCTTGCGTTGTCGTCCATGCTCTCGTACATATTTATGTTGTGTCCGTCATCTGTAAAACACAAAACCCAGGATTTATGAGCAAGAAATGTAAATCTAAACGTAGATATATAAGAATTACAACATCGTTGTTCATCACTCTGAGGAACCGTTTATTTTCTCTGGGAGATTGTAATGTCCTAGAAATCATTTACAAAGGCTCATTACGTACCCCACTGAGGTTTGAGCATGTGCATAATAAAGAATGTCAACAAATGAACTACGTATAAGGTGAGACTACCACTGCAATATGAAATGACTCTATGACAATTGAAATGAAGGTGGCATGTTGGAATACAAACATTTACGAGGTGTAAGCATGACTACCTACCAGACTGGGGTGCAGCTGCACTACTGCAACAACAACAGAAGAAATATTTATTGAAATATATGGATATTCATTAAATATATAGAAAATATCATTTTGGGCTGTAGTGTTTCATCACAGCACAAACACGGGAGCAACTGCTTAATGGCTGTTTATAACGTTATAATTAATGTAAATGCGCATGACGTCACAATGGCTGTTGCATGACTTCACTCATCAATTATTAACCATTGTAGATACACAATGATGAGCATTGACCACCACAAACAAAAATATCAAATAGAATTACTCACTCTGTCGATTCAGGTGGCTCTGTCTTATCTGAAAATGCATTTAAAGGTTTCATAAAAAGGTTGTAAATCTCGTCCGCGTATATTTTCGGCACTGCATAGGTAGGCATACAGTGCATTGTAGATGTATGAATTGTTTCGAGTTTAGTCCGCTTATTTGACCATTGATGACGTCTTGGACCCACCCTTCATTGTGTGGCGTCTTTTCCACCATAAGATGTACACAGCAGCTGCTACGAGAAGGGGAACCAGGCATATTGTCATCCCAACGCCAACACCAGCACTGAACGTTGGCCCTGAAAGTTCCACGGAAAATGGCATTGCATGTTATACTGTTATGTTCCTTTCTATTCGTCATCATCAATCAGTAAGATTTTTACGCAAGTCATTGTTACAAAGTGTATGAAATGATCTACCAACTCTTACGAAAACGACAAATAATATGATTGTAACTCGGTGCTTATCAACATAATGAGAAAGTTATGCACGTCCATGTCAAAACATGGCATACTGTGTTTAATGAGTTATTTAAAGTACGTAACCAACATTACTGGTGTACTCTGTTATTGTGAAATTACATGTAATGTGATTGGGCATGTATTTATGGTCATGTAAACTGTGTCCTACGCAATGGACAACACTTGTTTATCCGTCTCAAGAGATTGTGATGGTCGACACAAACGAATAGTGGTACACAAGGCAACTCCATATACACTGATGGTATAATTACACGTAATCAGACACTGCAGGCAGATGTGAGCTAATCTTCGTTTACGTCAGTTTTTGCGGAGCGTTCGGGATCCTGTCGGACCCGAAAGTCCCTGTGGATGTTTACAAAATGTCATTCTACAAAATGAGTTCCCAATAGCTGGAAGGCATCGTGATCCTTATAACACATAAACAATTTCTCACTTTCACACATGGCACGAATTTCACCATGTACCTCTTGGCTAGAAATGGGCAACATATAACATTCAAATCATTCTCAATCACCTGAGGTTTCGTCCTTCGAGATACAGTGAACAAACAGGGTCTGAGATTTAGATGCTATCCGAGTACTTTTGTAGAAGCCAGAACACTGGATCCGGGAAAGATGATCATCACAAGAGGGAGTGAATGTCGCCATGCTGACTGCGACAACCGCACCATCGCTAGCACGTGATGTTGATGTCACATCCTCTGTAAGTGTCTGATTTCCTTTCGTCCAGATGATGGTGGACAGCGGTAGTGTCGGATTGGTCTCACACACAAGCGTGACGTCTTCATTCTCCGTCATAGATAGGGGAAGGTTTGTTGAGTTGATAATACTTATTTCCACCAGAGGTACTGTAAATGTGTAAAAACAAGCTACTTCATATGATAAATCAAACGATACGTTTTGAATAAATATATATGGTTTGTATAATTGGTAAGAATTATTAAATAAAGTAAATTAAAGACATAAGGAACATGTCCCAACTACATGAGTCATCTCTTCTTTCAATAAAATCCTTGGACAGCGCATTTCAAAGAGAAACATATTCCGACAAATATACATATATACAATCACAATATATGTACGCCAATCATAAATATAGTTGGAAGGACTTTCCAGTATCTAAGCTTCACGAACTCTTGGTAAATAAAACACTCATGTTGCCACCTTGCACGTCGGATCCCATGGTATACGTGCGGGGTAAACGGTACGAATTTGCCTTTGAGGCGAAAAAGCAGTGGTTATCACCAGGAATGGAATGGTCACAGAAATACACCAAAAGTTACTGACAGTGTATATTGTGAACCGCGGCGAAGTTAGCACACGTGAGATGATACAGAGCAAGTATTAGAACATCACCTCTATTTACAGTTTGTTTCATATGACACATGCCACATTCGTGAATTTTCTCTGTTTATAGTCGACCCGTGAAGGTCAGGGTTAGAATTGGCCTTCAGTAACCCATGCTTGTCGTAAGAGGCGACTAAAGGCATCGGGTGGTCAGGCTCGCTGGCTTGGATGACACATGTCATCGGTTCCCAATTGTGTAGATCGATGCTCATGCTGTTGATCACTGGATTGTCTGGTCCAGACTCGATTATTTACAAACCGCCGACATATAGCTGGAATATTGCTGAGTGCGGCGTAAAACTAATTTCACTCACTCACTCACTTACTCACTGTTTATAGTCAATGTAAGTACAAACATTTTTGAAAATAATCACCTAGTTAGTTACGAGGGGCTAAAATAATATTAATAATCCTAGAAAAAGAACTTGGAAAATGGAAAATGACTATTCTGGATTTACGACAGAATTGACGACTGAAAACTGACGAAAATCAAATGTCTTTATTTTTACCATCAACGTGAAGGAGAATCGTGTTCGTTCTCAGGTTGGTTTCTTTGTAGGATCCAACACAATAAATTCTCTTCATATGGAACTCTCTTGTGACTTCCATTGATAGACGACCTGCAGTTACAGTAAGTCCTCCGTCTTCACGAGTTGATGAAGAGGCGCCAGTTGTTATACTGTCGTCGTCCTTCATCCACGTTATGTTGGACGGTGGTTTGGTCGGGTTTGTCTCACACACCAACAACATCGTGTCGCCTTCAGTCAGATTTAGAACGTGTGTTGTGGAAGTCAACAAGTTGATTGTCCTCAGTGGCACTTTGGAAAAACATAAAATGCTGACATTACTTTTACTTCACCTTGTATGAAAGTTTCCGTTCGTCACAATGTGGGTGAATTTGCCTACCCCAGCTCTAAAGGAGCACTGATCTATCTGTATGAGACCATATGTATACGCATATATGCCTGCCGAAGCGGGTGTGTCAATATCGTTCTCCAACCTGAACAAGCAGACAAAAATAACGGTGCATGCCCTTTGGATGACATTATTTCGCAATATCCCTGACGGTTCTAGCTTGATTTTCATGAAGTCTCAAGCCTAATGATTATTCTGAAGAACAGTGGACATAATGAAAATATATATAGTTGCCACGTGTCTCAGCTGACTAATGCACTCACTCAATGCAATATGATAAAATAGGTAACGTGACCACGGACACTGTCACGAGTTTTATGTGTCAGCTTAAGAATGGTTGGTTATTGCTCCATTATGTGGATATCAACAGACATAAACCTCGAAACTGATCACTACCTCAAATGAAAATATGAAATCTTTTGGCGGTTATATTTTCGATATTAGAATACAATCACCACACTTCATTTACGTCATCGTTGGGAAGTTCTTTGATGCCAGACAGACAACACTAAGTGTTTAACAAGCCTTCTCGATAGAGACGTGATTGTGGAAAATATGATCCACATCGGCTATTCATAAAATAAAATCGGCCTAGATATTACAATCACTTTACAATTTCACTAACAAATCTTTCCCTGTATTTGGTAGATCTCGTAAACTTTTAAGAAAGTTCCAAGTGCATGAAAACATAATGAAAGATTATTATGCTGAGATTATAAGCCAACAAAGTTAAGAACGTGCACAGACTTCTAATCCTAACATTTCAGCATTGGGAGATCAGTGTCCCTTTAAGGGCAGTGGAAGTTTCCGAGGTTGCAAAAATCAGCATCTATGTGATTTAATGCAGCAAAGGGGTTTTCCATTTCCTTATGTTCCAGTTTTCAGTATATTGTTACAAAAGCAACTCGATAGTGTGAAATTCAGTTAATAAATACATCAAGTTACATGAGGTCCTTTCAATGAATGCGAATATGGGACGAACTAGGTTAAACGGTGCCTGAAGATTAACTTGTATTCAGATTTTTACTCTAAACCGGAAATAATTATTTTTGTGCAATAGAAGATATACCAAAGGCAGAAAACCTGCCAAATGTTTTTCGGTAGTTCATTGAACATTGCACCAACATAATATCTCTATCCGTGATTGGTCTAACACTTACCATTGACGTCTAGGACTACCGTGTTGCTCCTCTCACCAAGAGGCTCGGCAAAACATGTCCAGTTCGAATTATGATGTCTGCGGTAATCGACGTCAAGAATTGTCAGAGTGAATGGGCCGTCTCGCGGACATGTGAAGTTATAGATATCCGTCGGGTTGAAGTCATATGTACATGTTTCATCAATGTATGATCTCGCTCTGAATGAAGACGTTCCGTTTGGTAATTGTGCAGTCCAGTAGACGTCAATAGTAATTCGAAAATCGTTGCTGCAGGTGAAAGCGAATGGTTGGCCAGCGACTGCAGTAAGGGAGGACCCTGTCAGGTTTACTCGTCCTGTGGGAGAAGGTGTGAGATGTGATTGAAATCATCGACATGACGAGAACTACAGGTATCGATTGTTAATGCATGCTTCCATACACAACATTACGCTAACTGAGTTACACATCTCTACTCGTCCGATTCCAGTATGTTATTACGTCGTTCAATATAGGTGGAGCTAAACACCACAACCAAACCGCCATATAACTGATGAAGAGAATTATATGAAACATGATGAGTATGCAATAGTTGTTACCTTCACATATACCTGCAAGGACCGCAAGTAGAAGTAGAAATATCCCTGTCATATTCTGCAGAGGAAACTGTATGCATCAAATACTGATATAAGATATTGATATGAACATGATTTCAGACACACCCTGGCCATATTCTCACACAAACAGCCACTTAAACAGCTGATACTTAGAGATTTGATATACTTACATACACACATACCTTTCCAGCTCATACTTAAAAATGTATGTACTTCTTTATCTGATGCGTTTATCTGATTCAAAAAGTGATCATGTAGTTCCTAAGCAAATATACCCACATGTACATGAACTTCCTTAGTTTATATAAAGTGTGTATTCACCATTTTACATCACTTAAACAGGCAATTATCAAGGCCTTTACCCTTGGAAACATGCACCTGCCCAAATCATACCCTCACTTACAAAGGCACACCCCGGCGGATATACGACTGTTCGTCTTCAACTGATATACGCAAACGATTACTACTTCAGTAGACACGCCCCAAGAACAGATTCTTACATAAACAGACAGTTAAACAGCTGATGTGCAACCACAGACGTGTACAGACAGAGTTAATAATTTTTACATGAACAGTTTATTCCTCAGTTCATAAACACATGTAAACAAGCGCATGCAAAGCTAAAATACTCACGGAAACATGCACCCTCTCTACTGTTATGATGGCGGCGAGGTAAAAAGGAAGTAAAATGAAATGAGTTCACACTATGTTAGCTTAATATGTCAAGTGCACATGCACACAAGCTACATGTCTGACTACCCGCGAGTATCAGATAACACCCTTGCTCAAAGTACATGTTTATAGCAATGGATAAGGTAGGATGTACATACGTAACCCATTCGAGCCTTCCTTGTCAACTTAGCCGGGAAAACCGGTTTGCCTAAGCATACACAAGGGTTGATCAAATTATTTGAACTTCCTGGTGTGCGAGTATCATCTTGGCTGTATGTAAGATATGCCTACCTGAAACAGGTCTGAATAGTCTGTAAGTGAGTCAGTATGAACATGCATTGCAGATCTGCTCTCTAATTCATTGTTGCATGATAAGGCGGCAGTTCTGTAGCTCCCAGATACAATCAAATGAGCCCCCACGCTCTCTTACATACAAAGGGGCGGTGGGGTCGCCAAGTGGTTAAAGCGTTGGCTCGTCACGCCGAAGACCCGGGTTCGAATCCCACATGGGTACAATGTGTGAAGCCCATTTCTGGTATCCCCCGCCGCGATGTTGCTGGAATATTGCTAAAAGCGGCGTAAAACCAAACTCAGTCAGTCAGTCAGTCTTACATACAACAGGACTGTAGATGCATGACAAATGACTGTATTGTTGAAAGACTGCAACGGCATTGCTGGTGTTGTAATCAACATTACCAAGTGCATGTTACCGACACAATAAAAATGTAATTCATAGTTACCACACCATAGCATACAGCCATGTCACTAAAACACAGAGCAAAGTATAGTGAATAAGTAACTGCTGTAGTCATAAGTAAATTTGATATTTCTTTGAAATGCAGTTTTATGTACGTAGCGTCACTACATTCACATGAAGGCGATAGGAAAGGCTACTGGTTGAAGCATTCGCTCGTCACGCCTAGGACTCGCGTTTCATTCCCGACACTAGGTACACAACCTGAAGCCTATTTCTGGTGTGCGCCGAAGGGATGCTGCTGCATTTTTGCTGCAGAGGCGTTGGTCATGTACTCAATCACTTCTTCAATGATAAATACATAACTGGACCCTTTCATTACCATGGCTTTGTTTCTAACTGGCCATACATAACAAAAGCTAAATGACTGGAAATTGAGCATGAGAGTTATTGTTACCAGCGCTAAGACTATTTGGTGGCCCGGGGTCATTGAGAAATCTGTGACGATTTGGAAGAATGGCGTTGACTTGTGTATGTAACCACATCTAATACCAGCATTTGCAGAACGTTATCTGATGAGAATTGCTAAGTTGTGCTAAAATCAGAAACAATTTGTTGCTTAGTCTGTGGAAAAAAGCACTAGGCGACATAAAAAGAAACTCTTAATATGTACACGTCTTCACAACTTTAGTCAAGTTCACGAATTAGAGGGAAAAAAACATGTGTATCAAGTGAGGCAAATTGTTATCCTTTGACCTTTGTCTCCCAAACCTGTAAAAGATAGTTTGTCACAACGATGAAGTGATGCGGAATGGACTTAAGGCAATTATTGAAGACTGCCTCCGAACGTCAGTCACTGATTTATCCTCCCGTATAGCTAAACTGGATAGAATTATCATTAAAACGCCTGCATGTTATCAGCAATGAGCGGGCCACTGTAACTTGATAATGACCCCGAACTGCTTGACGACCGGTCATTATCATGCCCATTGTTAGGTGTCCTTTATTCTCGGAAATTAAATGTATAGATACTTACACAAAAGAACAAACACAATCCAGGAAATAAAATGTACAAGAACGGAAAACATTAAATGAAAGTATTGAAATATATACATTTGCGTGATCATATCACTGAAAAACACAATACTGTTGTCTATTTATGAACGCCTGACGATGTGGGTTAGACTTGTACCCCATGCTGACATAACAGGCTACTAACCGGATCGGGTGGTCAGACTCGCTGACTTGCACGTCATCTTATCCAGTAGTTGGTTGATCATGATGCCACCGACTTGGTCTGGTCCATACTCGATGTTAAACAATAAGCAAACAATAAAACGTCGTATAACAATATAAAATCAATGATTACTATACTTGTGATGTCATAAGAGAATCCAAAACATAACATATCAAAATGTATTAGTGAGTTAACACAAAACTTAACATCATGCTATGTAACCCAGTTGTATTATTGGTAATCGATTCTTGTAGCTGATGTGGTGTCAAGTCAACAAACCACCGTTGGTGGTACAGGAACAACATTTTACGGTTTGAATATATAATAGGTAACATGTGATCACTTAGGTAAATAAACATATTACAATTTGACGGTTTCATTTACAATCCGTATACATTTTGATAGAGATTTTATGGTAGAGTACTTACAGGTGGAAAAAACGTTTTTAAATTATTTTTAAGATTTACCATAATAGTTTTGATATCGATATATCTGAGAATTACATAAGTGGCATTTTCTGAACTGTATAGGTATTGTTTTCCAGCGACCGATATCTGCTGGTAAATAATTATTAACGGTTCTAAACCGCATTATTGCTTTTGAGATACATTTTGGGAGAAGCAGCATGATGTACACTCGTTCGTGACCAACTCGTGTTATTCCGGGATAAGCCGAATAGCGACTCGTGCCCCTCTGGAAGGATTTCATATTGGCGCATGAACATCAGAACTACTTAAAGAAGAACGTTACCTCTATTCCTGTTTGATTCTTATGGTACTTCATATCACCGATTGTATTGCTGATTTTGCTTTTGTTTTTATTTATTTATTTTACAGAATTAAACCTCTTTGATACAACTAAAAGGAGAAAACTAAAACGAGAACAAATGTCAAACACATATTCGAACGTAATTATTACCAGCTGTTCACCTTATATCTGAAATGCATATTTCTTAATAAGGTTTAAAGCTGTGCAATGAATACGCTGAAAAATGTATGAAGGACTTCCAAAACCTCAGACTAAAATATCCCCAGAGATGTGCAATATAATGTTAAAGATTAAATTTGATTGGTTATATATAAATATAATATTACTGCTTTGAAACTCGTAGGGGGCGGTGGGGTAGCCTAATGGTTAAAGCGTTGGCTCATCACGCCGAAGACCCGGTTTCGAATCCCCACATGGGTACAATGTGTGAAGCCCATTTCTGGTGTCCCCGCCGTGATGTTGCTGGAATATTGGCAAAAGCGGCGTAAAACCAAACTCAGTCAGTCAGTCAGTTGAAACTCGTAGTGATTTATAACTACTTTTCCTAAAAATGTTGTAAAGCGCACGTACAATCTCCAAAAGAAGCCCACAAGATCGTCAGAAATACACTCAGTTGGACCCATGAGAGCCGTTATGCAAACAAACGCACGATTGTGTATTTGAATCTCTCACCGTCAGTCGTATTATCTTTATTAATAACTTCACATTAGGCAGCAAAATTCTGTGAGCTACGTTCTTTGTACTTTCAAAATGACGATATATATTTTTCATGATTTTTTAAGCAATGACATAATGCCATAAACGATTTAAATACTCGGGATTATTTTCATCAAAGCACCGCATTTATTTCGCGCGTTATGATTGGTTTGTCGTATTTATTGTCGCACATAAGCATCGAGACGGGGACGAGTCGTCTTTGAGGTTACGGAAAAGGGCTAGTGGTGACGATGAATGATGTGAGTGAGTGAGTGAGTTTAGTTGTACGCGACGAATGATGTACATTATTAACCCCCAAAAGGTCACACACAAACATTCTACTACTACTGGGCACACCCATTCAACCCTAGCGACAAATCTACCAAAATCTACATGTCAACAAAAAACTAAGTGTCAACAATCTAGCTTTATATACTCAAGAGGGAAACAAATAAAGGGAACACCACACCACTTCATCGCAGTGTTCCTCTATTTATTCTCAGATTTTCATCCACAGAGCGATACAAAGCTCGTAAAGATACCAGGAAAAGAATAAAGGAACACTTGCTCTTTCAAGTGTTCCTTTTTTTGGCCTCAGTATATATACACGAAGAGTTACAAAACTCAATGCTCAACATATGTTATTCTGTAATCGCAATCGATGAAATAATACA